TCCACCTTAGGAGAGACTGCCTGTTAGAAATGTGTTTTAATCAAAGTGCATGTGCACAGTATTACTCCTATTCATAATGCTCAAAACCAAGATTAAAATGGAAAGAATAAACATATACTCCAACCAAATAGGCCCAGTGTATAAAATTGTGAAACAAAAAGTCAAAATTTTGAATATGTAATTGAATTCATCTGTGATTCACATAAAGAAATGTCTCTGGATGTATACTTTATGTTTTCTTATTTCAGTATATTCCAGGCTTTTGAACATGTTTCTTTTCCTGTAGTCAAGTTCCATGTTTTGTATGCAGTGGTTCAAGTCAGTGAAGCGTGAGGAAAGCGGGAGTTGACCTTACCGACCACCCGTGAGTGATGATGATGAGGGGATTACTGCTGTTGAAACCACAGGAGGTGAGAGTGTGCAGCTGCAGAGGGTCCAGTGTGCAGGTGTCCTCACCTTCTAAAAACAGCCTGAAGACTGAGCTGCTGACATACGGCTCTCTCCCCGTCAGGACTCTCCTCTGCTCGGTGTCCACTACACCTCGGAAATCAAACAGCAGAGAAGTTATCTGTTTGTTCTTTCTAATTATTCTGCATGCCAGAACATGCTGAGGTGCTGGATGTGTTTACTTTGAGGTGAATAATTACAAATAATGCAGGTAAAGTCACTTTATTTTGTCCGCTCGAGAGCAGAGCAAATGTTTTAATTCATGCTTTGATAATATCATCTGAGAGTAAACAGGAAGAAATCACTATTGAGTCCCTTTTGGACTAATGCCCTTTCAGAGAAACTTTGGTGTGTTTCCAGGTCATGCAGACCTCTTTGGCAGATGCACACTTCACAAAATGTCCCATCAAGTGAATCTCTGCCAGACTCTTCTCATAATTTCTTATCTAAACTCCTCCTCCCTTAACATGTTAAAAACCGAAGCCCAGAAACCTCAGAAATCTCACTTGCAAACATCATAGATCCTCCTCCAAGGAAATCCATCATGACATTTCCTTTATAGTTTGTCATTGATTCCTGTCCAGCATGTTTATTATTCTAAACTGGTAACGTTAATAATGCCAGAAACCCAGGCGCCTGAACACTCAGTGACACAGTCGCCATCAGATGAGCTCTGGTTGCTGATATGAAGCCTATGATGAAAACATCTCGACAGTGAAAGTAATGAAAGTAATTATTCATTCATCAATCAACATCATTCCCTCTGCTAATTCAATCCCACATTTTCTTTGGTGTGTCTCCTCCCTGTTATGACTGTTTATCCACGAACATGGAGAGTAATTAGAAACAGCCTGACTGATTGGAGCACAAACACACTGTAATTCAGAAATGTGTACTGACAGAGTACTGGATGTATTTTACAATCCACACTCTGTCATTAGCACGATACAGTTTTTTGTGCAGAAAATAAGTGCAATAATTTGCATGTTATGTGCAGTGAATGAAGAGCTGTTCTCTCTAATCTGCATCTCCGTATCTAGATGTGTTTAAATCAGCTAAATAGAGACAACTGACTGAATGCAACACTTGAATAAGAGAAAACTTTGAATTATAACTAAATTGGTTGTAAAAATTTCATCGTGATAATTTCACAGTTATTCAAACAAAATGCATCTGTAACAAACTTGAGAAAGGAATTTAAACTGATCAGAACTATAACTTCAGCAACAGTCTGGACAGATTTGTTAGCAAGTATTTTGCAATTGTATTTACTATATTTTCAGCAACAAGCACACTGTAGTGTGTACTATAATTTTCAAACTGACAAGACCAATCAGATGTAAAGAAAACATAAAATATAATCACAATTTAATGAGTTGTTTAGCAGATCAGATAGAATAAAATCTGTTACACAGTAACACAAAACAAATTAGGTGTTTAGCAATCTAACGACCAGATGTGAAGATATTTGGAGACAGAGCATTATGTTGTTCAGTGGATTTTAAATAAACATTCAATTAAGCATTTGATACATAATGTATTTTAAATCAAGATACTTCAAATGAACAATAAAATAAGATAGAACAGGAGAACTGAAAGTTTACACCCAAAAAGAAATGTGGTTGATTAGAATAGATTTTCTTTTTAAAGGATTTTTTGGGGCATTTTTGTACCTTTATTTGATTGGACAGTGGAGATTGACAGGAAATGTGGTAGAATGAAATTTGAGAGGAAATATCAAGTTTAAGAGGTTTAAAGGCCCAATTTGAAACCTGTCATCAGGGGCTTGGTATTAATTAATTGATTTATACATGGACTGATAATACGGCCATCAATATGATGTGTACAATCATATTTAGGATGTGTAATATTTTTCACATTTGAACTATAGTATAAGTCCATAAAAATTCAGTCTACTAATCCAGTTCCAAACTGTCAATGAGTCAGCTGTTTTCTGAATTGCCTGTTGATTTGTAGATTTCATTCATTCATCTATCCATTTATGAAATCTGTTGAATATGCAATAAATGTCTTTTGGGATTTTGTAAACATGACATTTCACTCACCTGCTCTGCTTCCTTTGATTTTCTTCCCCTCACTGAGGTGATATGTTAACAGCAAACAGCACAGGAGTTTGACCACAGACATGGCGTCTCACAGACACTACCTCCTTTGAACCAAAACTTCTGTCACAGGTGAGAAGCACAGATCTTTAGTGTAGGGGGGGTGCAGGGGGTGCAGGTAATGTAGAGTCTGAAGGTGAAATCCTTTTGTCTGCAAGTGTAGAAGCTCTTTCAAGGAAGACTCATCACTGTCCTGAGGCTTGAACAGAGTGGGAGTGGGAACCACATTGTACTGTACTGTACAGAAGGAGAGGGAGCACCAGGAGTAATGGTTTATCAGGGGGATTTGGTCTTATCCTGATTGGCTGGGCGCCGAGTTGTGTAGATCGAACACATTGTGAAAGAGTGGAGGTATGAACGGGGGGGGGGGAGTACAATGTGCTGAGAGGTTGAAATGACACCAGATCCATATCCTTCTTTATGCAGTTTAAATGAACTCAAAATAGTACCACACAGCTTTAACTGCCTTTGTAGATGGATAGATGGACGAAAAACTGACAAGCCTACAGAACTGCCAGTTTCAGGCTATGGATAAAACATGGATGAGTAAATCCCTACAAGAATTAGATGCTGAGTTTTCCTGCATTGCTGCAATACATGTTTGAACAGTTGAAAAGTAGCTCTTGACAGGCTAACAGCAGATTTTATTCAAAGATGATCTTTTTTTTATGTCAAATGATTAAACAAAATCAATGATTTATTTCAGGTACCGTCACCTTTTCACTGGATTTTTTCCAAGTATCAGTCTGAGGTAAATGGTGTGAGTAAACACAGTAAACAAACAAGGTTAATGGTCACACGGTGGTCATGGAGAGCCTTAAATACTGATGTCTGGTACTTTTTTTTTTCTAACTCTTGTGCAATACTAATAATAATAAAAAAAGGTTCAGGTTGTGAAATGATGTACAATAATACTTAAACTGGCATTGGTGAATTACTCTATTATTTATTATTATATGTATTTATAGAATATGACAGTAAAGAACTGTCGGCCATGTCCCAAATCAGGCCAGTAGTCACACACATATAAACACACAGACACATAGTTTCCATACTTAGTTCAGGCTTCAGTGAATGTTGTCTTCTGTTATCTCCATTAAGCAGAATAATGAACAGAATAACAGCTGTAAATATAAATATATCAGGCTGTAAACACATGATATTGTGTAAAGGTTCACTTTAGTCCAGCAGCAGAAGAGTTAAAGTCGCAGTTTGTCTAATGGGTGATGTCACATCTGCAGCAAACATGATGAACCTTTGCTTTTCCAAGTATTGCATCTGTGTGTGTGTGTGTGTGTGTGTGTGTGTGTGTGTGTGTGTGTGTGTTGTGTGTGTGTGTGTGTGTGTGTGTGTGTGTGTGTGTGTGTGTGTGTGTGTGTGTGTGTGTGTGTGTGTGTGTGTGTGTGTGTGTGTGTTTGCTTGCTTCTGTGTCTAGTCACTGTATTTTGGCAGCCAATGACGGCAATAATAAAAAAATATACACAAATACAACAGTGTATCCAAAGAAAACAAAAACAAACAAAAAAAATTACAATAATACAAATCATGTCAAGAATGAGAATGAATTGGGCTGCCATAAGAAATCAAATGCACAACTCCTTTTCAGATTAAAAACTGAAAGAATATTTTGAGCCAAAGTCTTACAGTACAGTACAGTAACTAGGCTGGTATTATTCAAGTCGAAGAGAGAACACACTATGGGGGAAGAGCTCTGAAAGCACTGAAGTGTAAAATGTACACTCTTCATCTCTTCATCCATTCTCCATGAAGTTATGTAAGCTTTTCCAGTTGTCGTCTTTTAAATTTTTATATATTACTGCTATACTTGCTGCTCCCACTGATGATTAATGGCTTGTATGCATGTAATTACTTGGGTGACTGAGTGCTGTGGACTAGAGTTATGATTGAAGATGTTATTTGTTTATTTTATTTGTGTGTGTGTGTGTGTGTGTGTGTGTGGGTGTGTGTGTGTGTGTGTGTGTGTGTGTGTGTGTTTGTAACCACTTCAATAGTTAAAATATTATAGAATACAGGTTTATACCTGTGCTTTTCCTATGTCCCATGTCAAAACACTTTCTGTGAAAAAAATGTCAAATTGGATTATGAACTATATTTTCTGACAATATTTTCATTCAAATAAAGAGCAAATGTCTGAACTGATTGGACAAAACATTTCCCTGCAAAATGCATTTCACTTCATAGAAAGTGAATTGAAATTCCTGGCCTGGACAAGTACAGTACATGTTGTTTTCTTTTAAAAAACAATATCAGCCAGAAATATTTTCTGAGAGAAAAAATGTTATGACTATTTGATTTATATTTATTTTTCACTCTTTAAAACGTAATGCTTTCCAAATGAAAAAAACAACAAAAAACAGATGCCTTTGAGGAAGAAATATTCTGCTCATATATTGTTACACCTCTGTTTATTTGTAGTTTTTAGAACATCAACAAAACAAGTGTGAACAAAAACATAATTTCAGCAAAGTTTATTCAGTGACAGGCTGCCACTCATGCCAGGAGCACTAACATAAGTGTAGGACAGGGAGAGAAAAGTACCAACATACAAGCCACTTCACTGAACAGCTGAACGGGTTCAGTGAAACAAACACCTTAAACAGTTTTTCAAACATGCACACTAGTAATTCTGAATCAAACATAGGCCACATACAGGGTTTGAAGTACAATGGACACACTACATTTTCACATTTTTTCTGTTTTATAAAAGTAAAACAACAAATGAAAAAAAAACCCTAATCTATGTGATTGTCATGTTGCCAAACAAGTGTCTTGTACATTACACAAACACTGTGCTGTTGTAAAATGACATTCAATACACTACAATAGAATCTCACAATTAATGCAAGTATAAACGCCTGTTTAACCGACAACAGATATCCACATTAACATTAGCATACTGTGGATCTATGTGCATCATGTTGTCTGACAGTGATGCTTACAGTATGTTATCCATTGATACAGGCTGAATTACAAGTCATAGTATTCTAATATATATTCGTTTACATTTGGATTGTCTTTGCAAATTCACATTTCTGTGCTCACAGGATACAAACATTATGAATCACAAAAACACAATTAATAAAGGAAAATCCAGTGTTTTTACAACTCCAGTTTACATTTCCAAGTAGTGTTGTTCCTTTTTTTAATACCTGTAATGTTGTTATCCAATTTTCAGGGTTGAACTTGGAACCAAACGTAAACCATCCCAAACATTTATGTTCTATTACACATTTTACTTCAGCTCTGAAGAGTTATTAATGTAAACAGTTACAGTCAGTGTTTGCATATTGCCCCTGATACAGTGTGTGCTCTGCCTCAAACACAATTCATCACAGAGTTCAGTGACATTTGAAAAAGTTTCTGCTGGAAACAAAATGTTTTGGTTTTTTTTTCTCTTTTGCAGAAAGCAGACACTTAAATGTCTCATGTTAAGTTATGGCTTTTCAATATCAAAGGGTCTCAGTAACAAGTAAATCTTTGATCCAGCAATAGGACACAAGTTTGTGTGTCACAGGATTATGAAAATAACTGAAAAAGTAAGCAACACCAGTATAATCTTTTAAGGCTGGATTTTCTACATAAATGTCAGCAAGATAAAGCGATCGATCACACATTTTTAACACACACGCAAAGAATCAAGTGAAACAGAACAAAGGAGACACTCCACAAAACACCCGTTACTGTAACACACAAAAAATAGTATAAATTACTACATTTCCACATTAAACCAGTATTTCCTAAGTGCTACATATATGTAATGCCTTTGTTTGTAAGGTAGACATTAGTAAAAATAATACAAATGCTGTACAGAAACTTGGCAAATATTTCTAATGAGACGAAATGATCCCAGTAACGAAATAGGAGAATATAAAGAATACTGCACAGTTATAATAAAGCGGTAACTTTCCATACAAGGTTATTATAGCATGGAATTAAAGAAAAAGCTTGATGTCTAATTATAATATATTTTATAAGCAAGTTTAACATTGTAATAAATGAAGGAGCCCCTGAAACTTATGAATACACCAGACTTCCTACAAAAAAACACAAAAAGATTTAATTCATCCATATTTTATAAATGACTATGAAATTGTGTAGTCGGATGTTTGGTGTATTAAACCATTAACTGTAAATGTATTGTAGAAATGTATAAAAATTCTTCATCTAGAAGAACATTTTTGCCATCTGAGAGAAAAAATCAGCAGCTTTGTTGCTTTGCTCTGCAGCCCCTTCTCTACATTTTAACTCATAGTTACTATTTCATATTTGTCCTGGATGTTGTTCTCCTCCTGTTTTTCAGGCTCAGGGTGGTGCAACTCAATGAAGAGAAAGTAAATGCCCGCTCCAACTGCTCCGCCCACCATCGGCCCTGCCACAGGGATCCACCACCAGCAACCTCCAGCTCTGCAGTAAGAACATATACACATAAATAATTAGGAGAAAATATGATTTAACGATGTAGTTACTATTATTTACACGCGGCCCTGCATGAATTAAACCTTTAAAATCTTAAACCTTTGCTTTAATGGGGTGCGGCACCACTGAGCAGTACTACACAACCTATCAAGATAATGTAGTTCCTCTGTGTTTCTGAAGGAACTTTGTCAAGTCTAAGGACATTACTCAAGTGACAGCAGACTAAAAATGTTTAACAAAAAGCTTGAATTACAAACTGGGTGCATGAATGAGAAAGTTTCCCAGGCACAGAGAATCTAATGTTACATTCATGTCATTTGGGGTGGACGGTAGAGAGGTGAAAGATTTACAATTACATGTGTTCATTTGGCAGACACTTTTATCCAAAACGACTTACAAGTGAGGGACATCACTAAAGCTTCAGTGCAGTAGGAAACTTTGGCATAAGTACAAAGTACGACATCTATTTAATAAGTGCCAGGAGAACAAGTAAAGAAGTGTATCGAAAGTACATAGTAAGTGCTAGTTAGACATGTTAGTGTGTTAAAGGTATTAGGAGAGGAGGTGCTCTTGGAAGACATGAGTCTTCAACAGAATCTTGAAGGTAGAGAGGGACACCCCTGCTATGATAGCATTTGTTAGCTTGTTCCGCAATCAGGGAACCACAAACGAAAACAGTCTGGACTGCAACTGCAGGGATGGCAATGCCAGACGACATTCCTTGGAGGAACACAGTGGCCGAGAAGAAGCATAAGGCTGTATGATTGAGTTCAAGTAGATGGGTGCAGACCCAGAAGTCACTCTGAAGGCGGCATTAGTGACTTGAATTTGATTCAGGTGGCCATGGGTAGCTAATGTAGGTTGATGAGTAGCGGAGTGACATGTGCCCTTTTAGGCTGATTGAAGTCCAGACAGGCTGCTGCATTCTGGACCATCTGCAAGGGTTTCACTGTGAATGGCATGACTGGGAGACGGATGCAACATGGTCACAGCAGGATAGCTGGTCATCAAACATGATACCCAGGTTTCCTGCAACCTTGGTTAGGGTAAGGGATGAAGAGGCAATTTTGAAATTGATATTGTGATGGAGAGACTGATTGATTGGCCAGAATAACTAGGAGTTCAGTCTTGAAGAGGATTAGTTGAAGGTGGCTTTCCTTCATCCATGTGGATATGCCAGAGAGACAGGCTGAGATCCCTACAGAGACCGAGGGGTTGTGTGATGGGAACGACAGGTATAGTTGGGTGTCATCTGCATAGCAGTGATATGAGAAGCCATGGGAGCGAATAATTAAACCCAAGGAGGTGGTGTATATTGCAGAGAGGAGGGGTCCCAGTATTGATACTTGGGATACTTCAGTGGGGAGGGGATGGGATAAGGATGTTTGTCCTTGCCATGACACACTGTAGGAGCATCCAGTGAGATAAGATTCAAACCAAGAAAGCACTTTGCCTTACATAACAACTTGTCAACATTCACGTCATAATACAACTAAAAGTCATTCATCTTCAGGTTAGAAATATTATGCATGGACAATACAACACTATATCCTTTAAGTCTGGGTTTAAAGGATGAGCTCAAGATTTGACTACTCTTTTAATTACCTTGAATGGTTAGACTTTGGCTGATATGAGGCATCCTTGTTGGTTTGGTTTTCAGAAACTTTTACTGTCACAGGTATTTCTAATTGCTAAGTGCGTTAATATCAAAAGAAATGTTTTCCAATCATAGTTATAAATTGGAAAGACTCTTGAATAATGAAATACGCTTTTGATAAATGAAAGACACTTGCATTGCAATATAGGAAGTGAAGGAAGTGTAGCTTGACCCTCACTTGACAAAAAAAGTCAGGGTATCTTGACCTCTGCTGCTTCACTTCCATTCTTTTCTTTTGCAGGTCCCCCAACACTATAGAACTACATTGTTGAATTGCGCAGTTGTCTTTCACATTAAATAATGTACACTGCCTCTCCAATTTGTATGTTTATGTTTGTATCGTCCTACCTGGGGCGAGTTATATGCAATTATCCCAGATTACAGTAAAGTCTTAAGAAGCTCTTTGTGTTAGACCTACTGCATGTGTCCTCATTCTCGCTCTGGCTGACCTCAGACAGACTGTTTTATTTAGCCAGGGAGTAGATTAGAGTCCTTCTGGTCAATGTTGCTGTTAGGAGACTTTACTGCAGGTGAAAGGGCTTCAGTTAACAGTGCTGATGCACAGGCCTGAAAGTAAACAAGCGTCGGAGCGGGTCATCTTTTTCTCCTGGAGGCATTCAGGAAACAGACTACAGGAGGGAGGCGGCTGGATTATAGACTTTAATCTATTGCCACAGCTAAGATGATCAGGCCAGGAGACAGTGGGTCACATTGACGCAGCATGAACATTTTATGGAGCCAAGTGCCACCCTTCACAATCAGTCCTCAGCCTGATTTGAGTGTTTTTTTTTTCATTACATTGCACTGTTTATATCATAAATGTAAAAGATTATGTCTGACTTAGCACATGGAGCACATATGCATTACATGAAACTGACAGTACCAAGGGCTTATATGTACATTAAAGCAATCGCGCTAGATATTTGTAAGGTCATATGAGCCATCTGGTGATCGTTAAAGCTGTAGTATGGGGACAGAGAGCATCAGAAAATGTATCTGTCCCATAGCGAGCTGTAGACTGCTTAATATTGTGTTATTTTGAAGATAAATCAAGAATCCTGCTTTTAAAAATCCTTAGTTGTACTGAACAACCTTTTAATCCAGGTCTACGCTTATACTACTCATTTTAAGGCATCTTTTTTATCCAAGCAGTGTTTTGTTCTTAATTAAACAACCACATATTCTTTCTTAATGCATTTTAGCACTTCCAAGGGGGTTAGAAAGAAAGGACCAGGACAGAGGCAATGATAAATTGTGCACTCAGGGCAAAGACACAAACAGCATATATCTGCCACCTGTCGAAACAGAGACAAGCAACATGTGAGTAAAAGAAAGAACAGGATAGGGCATTGTTCACAGACATGACAACACTGACTTCATCTGGGAATGTTGGTGAAAAGCAGAAGAAACACAGTAGATACACCACTTCAATATCACAGGGATTTTGAGGAAAGAGCCTCTGAACTGGCACAAGAGTCTGTCGCACTGACTGAGTCAACGATGTTAGACTCTGAGCCTCTTCCAGGGATCACAGCATTTTGCCTCAGTAGGAATTAAAGCCTAAATCAAGTAGCTGGAAAAGAAACTACAAGGTGATACTCAGTTTCAGGAAGAACAATAGGGATTATGTCAACAACACAAAATGGTGGACCAATACTTCAGCCTTTCACAGATAATCAAGGGAGGATACAGGTTTGCTATTGCAGCTGATATGTGTTTTAAGATTTGGCAAATATTTCGAGAGGTATAATGTAGGTGTACAGCATACAAAATGCCACTGAGTTTATATACATGTGGAGTGACAGCTTTGTTTGCACTCTTGACAAAGTCCAGAGTGAAAGTGAGACAGGGGTGCACCTTGTCCCCTCTTCTGTTTGCAGCGTGCAGACAGTATTTCAAATGTACAATTCGTTGATATTAGAGCAGCGCCTTTGCTGTGTGATGTTATTGTTTCTGGTTTTTCTGGTTTTTAACTGTGGCTGCAGTTGAGAGGGGGTTCCCTCCTCTGCACTGACAAGACATCTGAGGTGGCTGGGGCAGGACAAAGCTGAACATACAAAAGAGACGATATCTCCTGTGTGTCCTGAGCGTGTCTGGGGTTTTCCCAGGACAAGCTCAAGGACAGTGCTGTAACAGAAATGTCTGGGTTGCTTTGCTTCCCCCTGTTCACACTGTTAAAGATCCCTTTTACTATTACGTGTGAATACAAGCTGCCTTTTCTGGAACAGAACCAAAGACTCAGATTTATAAGTGTTAAAGGTGTGCAGTGACACTTCATGCAAATAAACAATAAAATGTTACATTTACAATAAGTGTTTCTTAGCAAAACACATTTTGTGTATCCCAGAGGCTGTCACACACTGTGGTGTTGTTGAATGCTTTTCCTTCTTCATAAAACATTTCCAGAGTCATTTTCTTTGAATATTTGGTAACTTGTACTGTGTATATCCATGTTTACTAACTTTAATTAGCTTTAATTATTTGGTGTGTGACAGCCACAACTGTTAATCATCACCTACATACATGTGTGTGTAACAGTGCATCCTCATTCCTGTGCTTGCACGGTTTGTGATTCAAACAAAGCACTGCTCCATAGAACTACTTGTGGTCAAAACCTCAACAAAGTGCCTTTAACCAAAAATGTTGTAGATGGTAAATGAATTTCTGCTAAAATGTATAACTCCATTTGTGGTTTTAGAGAGTTTACACACTCTTTTAGACACTTTCACATGCGATAAGAACAATATTTTTTATCCTTCTGATCAAGATATGATGCTGATTTGAGCATAAACAAAATAATAAAAAAACAAAACAAAATACAAACTGCTGAAATGACTGGGATAAAATAAAATGAAGAAAGACAGAATGAGGAACACACGATTGTGCCATTTCAGTGATGAAGTGCTGAATATTTCATATTTATGTGCATGGTATCTCTCCCTGTTCACTTGAATCCCAGAGCCCTTTCTCAAATGCAGAGAAAACATGTATGGTCTTTGAAATATTTATTCACATTGTGAAGAGAGCAGAGATGGAGCCACAAATGTTGCTCTTCATGTGGGACAGGAAAGAGTAACCGCTTGATCAAACTTGAGTTTCTTACATCACACACTGACTGTGTCTCAGGCAGGCGGCTCAGAAAACATTTCTTCCACTTTCTGTATGAGTCCTTCTGATAATAATCCCCACATAACTCTCTCTTTCATATTTGTTTCAAACACTGTGCTTTACAGATGACACATCATTAAAATTACCTGAATACGTCCATGCCCCACCCGGCCACAGCCGTGAAGAACCGTGGGCCGAGGTCTCGAGCCGGGTTGATTGGATAGCCGCAGTTCAGACCCATGGACACTCCGATGGCCATGATGATCAGGCCGATGCACAGAGGCTCCATGCCTTTTGGAGCACCAATATTCTTCCTGTCAGTGATGGCCAGGATGCACAGGATCAGAGCGCCAGTTGCAATTACCTTAAAAGCAAAAGAATAAGGCAAGTAGCAACAGTTATATTCCATTTATTTTGTTTGTTGTTGTTGTTGTTGTTGTTGTTGTAGTTGTAGTAGAGAAGATGTTTTTCAGTTACCTCATCTACTATGGTGACCTCTGACCTGCCTCTAAGCTTATTATGGGGCTTCCCCTTTCCCCTGGTTTCAGTCTGTATGAAACAGCGTTACTATATAGTTTCATATAGCTGTATATTAAAAAAAAAACCATTCCGGGGTGAGATTATCAAAAAGTGTAAACTTTCACATAACAACGTATTATTTGAAAATATCAAGTTTGTTATACTTTACAGACTCTAATTTGAGCCCTTAAAACCACACAACCACGTTGATCCAAATGCCCATTGTCAAATATCAAAACACATCATTAGAACCTGCTTTTACTTTGACATGTCTTCTAATAATTATAACTGAAAGTTAATTGTTAATATTTCTGATGGTGTAGCTGCTTCGTTTACATCTGTTATGCTTGTAAACGTTGCAGAATTCATGGCTTTGTAAAATCAGTTAAGTAACACAATGCTAAATTCTATCCTACAAACTCTTGTTAATGTGAATGTAACCTGAAATTTATATGATCAAAAAAAGAAAGAAAGAAAAAATAGATTAACAGATTAGACTTAAACATCGTAATTGCCTTCACAAATGCACGAACTAACATGTCCATCTCACCTCGTACTCATCCAGAACAGATGGTAGTTATTCTCAGCATCAGAGCAGAATTGTTCATACATCAGTAAACAACTCCATTTATGCCTATTGTCATACCCATGACTGCACAAAATGTACACTCACATGCGCCTCTTTTTGCTTTAGTGACTTCCACATACACAGAATCATTTTGGAAAATGTTTGGTATCTCAATGATAATCAATGATTGCACATTTAAAAAAAGAGGAAAAAGCCCTCCAAAGCTGATTACTAATATAAGTTTAAAAAATTGTTTCTAATTTTCGTGTTCTCAGGCAGGTTGTGTAAAGTATTACCATCCATGTGGATATAGTATATTTTCAGGGGAAATACAAGTTAGTGTTAAGCCCCCACCTGATCAACAAACCCATTTATGACTGAGAGATGTTGTGCAGGATAAGATGCAAATATGTTGGCTGTGGCATTGGCACCAGTAACAGCAAATTCTCCATTGGTATATTCCATCAAAGCATCTGTGGAAAAGAAAATCCAATAAAGGTAAGCAATTGTTTATTGCAATTATTACAACTATCACAACTTTTTTGTATTTTAATATTAATAAGTCAGACATAAAAACAAGGCGCCACCTCACGAAGCGGGATCACTAAATTAGCTTCACTCCAATAACTAGTTATTCCCACTTTCTGAGACAGTTCTCTGGTAGTGATGACATTTATACATTTACACCTACCATAATACAACCCATAGACAGCACAAGATCCAGCAAAAGCACCCAGGAATTGTGCCACCACATACACAGGAAACTTCTTCAGCGGTAGCTTCCCCAGGATCACCATGGCCAGAGAGACCGCCGGGTTCACATGGGCTCCTGGAACAATGCAACAAAACAAATGAGCAAGAGCAAGTAACATTTCCGTAAGTTGCACCTAAAACATAACAGACAGTACAGTATTTTAAAAAGAAGAGTAGAACAACAACTGGAAGTGACAGAAAAGAACCAAAATTTTTAAGGCAGGCTTAAAACTAAAATAAAATCAGAGCTACAACTAGTGATTACTTTCTTAATAAATTAATCTGCCAGTTATTTTCTCAATCAAATTAAAGTGAAAAATACCCATCACCGGTTAAAGCCCTGTCTGACCAATAGTCTACAACCCAAAGATCTTCAGTTTATCATCACATCAGATATAAGAGCAGCAAATCCTCACACTTTAGAAGCTGGAATCAAAAAATGAAAAATGACTTCAAACAGTCTACTCTATGACTCGCAAGGAAAAACAATCGAAATTGATGCAGAAGAACCAGAGATATATGTTTTTCTTCCTTGAAACTCAGCCACAGACAGTATGATTGGCGATGTGGGTGTGTTAGCGGCTAATGCAACCTTGAGGCAGGATTTTGTACTCTTCAGACTCGACAGACGATGAATCAAGCTTCAGGGAATGTATCAGACTTCACACAGATTTCCTCTGGAGCCACAAAAGGCTTTATATAACTTCTTTTCACGTATGTTTTGGTATTCGCCAAGACCTCTGATGTGTGAAATGGATGGAGTTCCCCTTTAAATGATAACTGATTATCAAAATAGTTGCTGATTATTTTTCTTATTCTTCTTGACTAATTGATTAATTGACTAATCGACTAATTAGCCAAGCATTTTAAGTCTTTTTCGTCATCTTTTACGAGACAAGGTAAGTGGATTAAAACAGTCAGTGATGAGCTGTCTGATTATTTAGTGCCTGAGTTTAAACCCTCTGTTGTTCATTCATTCAAAACTTTCAGGCTATTTTCAAACAAAGGGCACTGGGTTTGTATGGCTGTCAGAGTCGGCCTGTTTTCCTATATTCTACATTGTCTCTAAATGTTTGAACACATTCCAGTTCACCACAGCCCAGTTGTTACTGGGCTGTAGCGGCAGTGTGGGGTCATTTATTTAACACTCTGGGATCTTGGCTTTGACCTCGCTGTGGTAACACCACTGGGGGTATCAGCCATGCGCCCATTGTTAATCTCCCCATCCTGTTCACAAACACTGACCACGACAACCAGCCAGACCTGCCTGCCTGAATTGCATCTGACATAATCTGCCTGAATCTGCTTAAGGCACACGTAGACTGCAGGTCATTAGAGTGACCATGATGTGTCACACTTACGGTACACTGTCATCTAAAATCTGAGACTACAAAGTGAAAACAATTGTGTTTTCTTCTCCTATGGGGCCGTCCTGCCAGGGAAGCCTAGAAAGCCAGGCTTGTCACACCTGACCCCCCCTCCTCTCCAGAGACCCATGCCCCAGTAAAGCTCATTAGTCCAATACCTATGATCATCTTCAGAGATGTCGTTGGACAGAAGCTTCCCACTGAGCTGTGGACCCTGGGGCTGAATGGCCCAGTCATGCAGCAAAAGCTCTCCATATATTAACCTCCCTGTCCTCAGGCTTTTCTACTATTCCTCTGAAGCTCTACAACTCCTCTCATTAAACGTGTAGCACAAGTATCACTGTAACATGAGTCAGAGTGATCGCCACAACCAAACTAAACAACAACAAAAACACGTAAAGCTCATTTAAATGTGTACCACTTTCCATTTTCCAAATTACTCAATGAATAATTTTTGATCTCTTCAAAAACACAAACTAGGTACAGTATATTTCCTCATAATAATAATAATAATAATAACAATTCTATACATATATAATTCCTCAATATTCTGATGTACTGTGTAAACATATACAGGAGGGTTAATTACAGCATTAATTAGGTCTTATTTGCTTTCTTGCTGAGAGTTAGGTGAGAAAATCAATAACATTTTCGTGTCTGTCTGTTAAATATGAGGTTATAAAATTAGCTTAGCTTAGCATAAAGACTGGAAACAGAGGGAAATACCTAGCCTGTCTCTGTAACAAAATCCATCTATCACCTGCTCTAAAGATCACTAACTCATAAAACAGTGAATTATTATTTTTATGCTTGATGTTTTTTTTTTTTTTTACAGATTAAACAAACTAGACATAATGTGTTAATTAGTGAATTTTAGTGGTGGCAGAAGGTGGATTTTGTTCCCCATAGACAGACTAAGGTTAACTGTTTCCCCTTGTTTCCAAAATGTCAAACTACTCCTTTCAGCAGTTATCATGCCATCAGACACCACAACATTTATATGATCTCTTTTTTCCACTTTTGATTATGCTTTTTCTGCTCCCAAGAATCATGGAAATGACTATACACGGAGCCTATACAATGCAACCCTTGACATGTTGAATCCCTTATTCCATGATTAATGGACATTCACCATTTTGGCTCAGAAAGCCCATGAAAAGTACCGTGACATTTAACAACTATTCCCTCCTATCCCTATCATTGCTGGCAAATTACACCAGGCTCTTCTTGCAATAATCCTCAAGGAATGTACCTGGTAAAGTCCCATTTGTACATCAGGATACAATATCTCCCTCCCTCAAGTACACTTACACCACTCTTACACTGAAAATCAGTTCATTCAAGGGGGTAATTAAACTACAGCACTTAATTGTTTACTCTCCAGTAAAAAACACATTTTCCCATTTGTCTCAGTGATTCTTGCTTAAAGACCAGAAAAAAATGTTACTATAGGTCCATTGCTCCCCATTATGTAACACTGCAAGTCCATAACAGAGTTCTACACTCTTCATAGGCCATTTTATCTAGATCAGTAAGCTAATGCAATGATGTCAGTGATCCGAGATGAAAATGCACCGAGTTTTTATGGAAATACTTACTGAACATGGCAATAACAGTAACACAAAGTAACCTGAATGGGAGAACTGTCTTTGTGCTGTAAGAACAAAGAGGTGGGCCAGACTTCCACAACCAAAGATTGCATCTCCACCACAGACAAACACGGAGGGATGACTTTTGTTACCAGCCTGTGTTTGTAGCTTTCTGCTGGATGAAATATTAAATAACTGTAAGATTTTCTTCCCCTGAGAAAGCTGAGAAAAACCGCCAAACCAAACAACTTCACAACAAAATGGCACTGGTGTCTACATGTGCTTGCAGGTAGAGCTGCGTTAATTAGTCTATTAATCGGCTGATCAATCAACAGAAAATTAATTGGTGACAATCATAATTATTCCTAGAAGTAATTTTGTTTTTAAGAAAAAAATACACAACATTCCGTTAGATCTCGCTTCTTAATTATACAAATGTTCTGCTTTTCTGTGTTTAATATCACAGTAATCTGAATATCTTTAGATCTTTAGAGTTTTAGACTGTAAATCTGAAAAAAGAAGACATCACCTTGGGCTTTAGGAAACTACAGCTGGCATTTTTCAACATTTTGTGACACATGGAACAAACGATTAATTGATTTATGCAGATTAAACAATAATGAAAACACTTCTTAGTTGCAAACTTGCAAGGATCAAACGGTTGACTCTGAACTGAGAAGTGGATGTTTCTGTATTGTAATGACCGTGAGTTGTTTGTGTATCCATATGAAGTGTGGGCGACTTTTACCTGACACTCCCCCTGCCATGTAGACGGCCATCATGACTCCCAGAGTGAAACCAACGTGGATGGTCAAGGGTTCCCCGAGAGCCCCTTTACTCAGCACCGTCTGGGCCACTGAACCACATCCAAAGAGCTGGGACACAGACAAGAACAAAAACACAAAGGGTGGAGGTAGAAAGACTCATTGTTTTTAATTATTCCAATTATACCCGCCATTAACACTAACCCTTTTGTCCACCAACAGCCTCCGACTGCCACAGACAATTTGTCCAACTTGGAGCTTTGGAAAAAATAATTAATCCCCCACTTATTAGGTAAAAGGCAGAAGCAATTTAGAGGAAAAAAAAAAGTGTTGAGATGAGAGCAGTCATCCAAAAATAAAAAGGGCTGCTGTGGAGGCTGCATCACTTCTCCACTCCTCTGATGTGGCATCTAAAGTGGACAGGTGGAGCTCAGGTGAGACAGGTGGAGGCGAGGATAGTCCAGACTAGAAACACATAAGAACTGAGAAGCATTCCTCCTCCTCCTCCTCAAGGAAAACCAGGATACTACTCTGAGGTGCAAAGTGAATCGATCATTACCTTATTTTAAACCATGTTTTATTTTCCCCGTGACCTCATAGCTGAAAGGAAATGACTTGCTGTGTTTATAATGATTTACATTTTGTGTTACAGTTCACTTTTGGATGAGTTGTGAGTGAGAAAAAACAGTCCCACATCAGTCACATCTTGTTATGATTTCTACAAGCACAAATCACATCTGAGCAGATCAAAGAGAAACTCTCTTCCAGACTATACTATGTGTTAACAGAGACATATGAGAGACAGCAGTCAGAGCCCCTGGAGACCCACTTTGACACCTTATTAGCATACTGGTTCACAGCTTTAAAGCGGCTGTTTAAGCTGGATGACAGGTGCAGAGGGAGGTACTCACTATCAGGACAAATATCCCCAGAAATTCCGCCAGGAACTCCTTAAAGATGTCCCGCCTCAGGCCAAATCTCTCCTTCATCTTGCTCTTGCTGTCGCTGTCCATTTTTTTTTTTCTGGGGCTCCTTGATGTCTTCCTCCGACCAGAACAAACAGCTAACAACTACAGACTGTGTGTAGTAGTCGGTGCAGGTTGCCGCCTCCCATTCGGTGCGGTCGGACCGTGCAGCCCTCAGCAGGCTGTCGGGCACGTTAAGCTTTCTGCATCTATTTCCCTCTGTAACCACAAGGGGTCTACTTTTTATTGCAAATGTGAGCTTCAAACTTTTGAACTGCCATCCAAACCTGACTGCTGCAGACGGTATTTGTTTGTATTTTTTGTATTCTTCCACATTTGGATGCACGAAAAACATAAAAGAACTGTGGCCTTAAAAACGCCCTTACTGGAGGTTGCTTTCTTAATAAAGCCATGACAAATACGATTGAACTTCCTTTGTTGAATAGATCACTGAACTGACGGACACACTCACGTCTAATATCAAATGACAATGAATAAACTCTTAGTTAACAGGCTCACCTTCAAAACCACAACTCAGCAGTGACTTCCACAATCTCAAAATATTGTTGATAATGATCACGTTAGTTGAGCTGAGCTCCAGCCAGTGAAAATATGGCATATAAAGTTGATTTTTATTGACCATTCAGAGCTACAGATGAGGTAGGCCCAGGTGATATAAAATGTATATATTGGCTTTCTGCAATTAAAAAAACAAAACAAATTAGTTAATTTTTGTGAAACGTTTTCAGATGTTTTAAAAGGGCAATCTGTCTATTTTAATACAAAACCTCATTTGGATGATACTCAATTTAATAAATCACATATTTATGTTTCCATTTAGGAAATACAATTTGCTGGAGTTAGATTATAATTTCATTTTTTAAAGTAGTTCTTTCTTTCTTTCTTTCTTTCTTTCTTTCTTTCTTTCTTTCTTTCTTTCTTTCTTTCTATTTTTTTTGACTCTCACCCCACTGTAAATTATTTAGTAATGAAGACAAAGTGAATTAAGTGTACTGAATGCAAGAAAACTTCTCCACAGAGATAAATATATTTTTGAAAACAAGTCCACCCAGGTAGGTCTACATATCCTACTATATCCTACACTTTCCTACAAACACTCAACATCAACGTCTATGAAAAACGAGATAAAATAACTATAGCTACTCATAGGCAACTTTTGATAACCTTTATTAATTTTTATCTTTGTTGTTGATCAAATAACAGATATAAAATAAAAGTAAAAAAAAAAAACTTCACCTGCATCCATCAGTCCTCATATCCAGTTCTGTCCAGTTCATGTCCAGTTCTCTTACAGAAAAAATACCAGAGAAACTGGATTTTGGGGGGGGAAATCTCACTTTTCTTTTTGACACATTAGAAAGTTTGTTCGTTTTTCTCACTCACCTTTCTTCATGTTGCAGCTGTTTGCTCTGAAAAACTCATTCCAGCCATTTTATCAGTCATATTTCCAGTTTTTTTTAATTCATGTTTCCACTGCCAGCCCAATTCTCTTATTAAACCGCTCTTGATGCTCATTACCTAAGTGTGTGTGTGTGTGTGTGTGTGTGTGTGTGTGTGTGTGTGTGTGTGTGTGTGTGTGTGTGTGTGTCACCCTGGCCCCGTTCCTCCAACAGAGGGAGCTCCATGAATACATTTGAACCCGCCTGCTGGAGTTGGTCACACCGTCTCCCCCGGTTCGTCTTATCTTCCGTTCGCTGAGCTTTGTGAAACGGTGAGGCGACAGGCTGAGGATGGGATGTTTTGAATGCATTAATCAATGTCACCGTTTCAGGCACGTCCGCTTTGATGTGAAACAGACACTTTGGAGAGTGTCGCCCATGCTGTGAAGAAAGGGTGATGTGCTGATGGAGAGAAAGCATCCTCCCGGGATTTGCAAATGATGGGCCTACATCTGTCTCCGCACTCCTTTGTCCTGTCAAGAGGCTCATGTTATGAAATCTTAACATTTAAAGGCGCCGGTTGAGGAGATTCATCTTTGAGGACATAGTTTGCATTAAAAACCAAACTGGCCGCAGATGTGAGGCTTCACTTCTCTCTGTATTCATCTCCTCATCTCGAATCCACATAGGCTATCACACACAAACTTCTGATTTACCCTTTAACTGCTGGCAGGCTCTTACCTGAGTGACTCCGTGGATGAATGCGTGAGGATGTGCATTTGTTGTGGGTGTGCTAATACATGCAGTGGATTTGCTTTAATTCCCCCATAGTTCCCTGAGACAGGCTCCTTTGGGGTTAATTGGTGGATGTTTATTGGGAGGTTTAAAGCAGGCGCTGGGAGGAATTATCACCTGCGGGACAAATCCCTGCCAACAACACCACAGCAAGTAGCAGCAATCCCCGCAGTCCACATTTACATAACATCTTAGACCGCGGGGAGGTTGTGTTAGGCAAATAAAGACTACAGGGTGATAGTGAGCCCAGGACAGCAGTTTGACACCTTTATGTGACTTAGGAAATGGTTAATGATGGGTCAAGAATGTGAGTTGATATTTTCAATAAAGAGTAGCCATGCCTTTATGTCTCCTCTGTTAACTGCTGGTACCAAGGTAAAGAATTAACTTTTAATCTAAACTGTCATGTCAAAGTCCTTAAAGTGCGCAGAAAAAATGTGCATTTGAACATTTACAAATACTGGGCAAACTCCATCTGCGGAGGAAGATCATGTGATAAGCTTCAAAAGTGACTAAATGGACCTTGTGGTGAGATTGTTTTGCCACGTAAAAGCGTAGGCTTCATTATGCTCCACTGTGTGCTCTCTGGAGCTGTAGCCTGTTTCACCCATGTGGCCACTTATAAAACACTTGTGCAAAATAGGTCCTGTGTGATTTGGAAGTCAGAGCCAAATGGAGAAACGTGGAAGCCAAATGTGTGAACATGCTAGATTATTATAAGGCAGTTATTGTTAGGTTCAGATCATATACCTATGATTTACAGAATGACAGACACCAAACACCATGTTCAGATGGTCTCCTCTGAACTGAAACGTGTTAAACTTTGAATTAGTGTAGAAAACAGTCAGCTGCTGGTGAGTGAAAGCAGTGGAAACTGAGTGCATCGGGAGTGCGAGGTGGGTGGGGTGGACGTGTTTCTCCTCCTTAACACGCATGGCTGAGGTCGTTTATGTAAATGCGCGAATTTAATTTTCAAAAGGACAGCCCTTTTCTTTGCCCAATGAAAATGAACCGCGGCTGACACCTGGCTATAAACCCAGGAAGGAACCCAAAGTCCTAATCAGAAATCTGTAGAAAAAACCCAGAGAGGCGCAGCAGGCAGACGAGCGGAGAGACGGCCGTGATGACTTCCAGTAAGATCGAGATCCCCGGAGAGGTGAAGAGCGACCCCGCTGCTCTCATGGCATCCCTCCAGCTGATGCCCTCACCGGTGCCCAACCCGGAGATCAAGTACACTAAGGTCTGTTTCTCTCCACACCCCTCTGCCGAACGACTAGAGTTAACTTTGCTCGGCTTGTGCTCGCAGATGTCTCCTGTACCTTTAACCAGAGTTTAGAAATCCGTCGGAACAAAACTTTTTTTTTTCAGTGTCAGCAGCTGAAGCTTCGGTATCAGACCGCGCAGCTCACTCAGGGGCTGGAGCTGATAAACTTCTCCGAACAAAACTTCGTAACTTCCACGACAGACGTGATAAGCGGACGAATGCACGTTTTAAAGTCCCGATGAGTTTTTTTTTTTTTTTCTGCGTCCACGTGCTCAGTGCAGTTCAGCATTAAATGATCAATAAGAACTTATTTTAAAACCGAAGCAGATCAAATATAAAAATAACATATTCTATAAGTTATATTGAATTTTTGCGTTAGCCTGATATCACTTTACTTGATGTAACAAAAAAAAAAAGATGTAACTGCTTAAAACAATTTAGTGCTGGGCCTAATGTTACATTTTTAATGTGATTCACCGCGTCACTTCATAGACCTGAGATTATGATAAAACCTGATTTGGATTTCCATACAGCTTGTGCCAGTTATGACGCTACATGCTACAAAATAGCTGTGTTTTTATAGAGGCAATAACGTATTAATAAAGGGCGTGTCACAGCTTGAGTGTGATTTAGCAATAAAGAGTAAAGTGGTTTTCAGACCTGCTAAAATTTATATAACACCGAGGCACGTGGACAATTTTTAACTATTATTATATAGTTTATATTTATTATGTTTATATTCAACACACAAGCCAGCATCTCTTCAGGTTATTGCATGGGAAGTCAATTAATAAAAAATATTTTTCAATTAAAGTCTCTTACTCAAGAGCTATAAAGAAATTAATTAGAGGAATACGTATAACATTGAAATATTGCAAGATTGGATCCAAACCTTTTTTCTCCCATTTTTTTCCATAATGATTATAATATTTCACTTAGTGTTTCTTTGGTTTTCAACAAGTCCTTAATTTACTGTAATTAAGGTTTCTCACAGTCATATTAGGCATCAGCTGAAAAAGATGAAGCAAATCCAACTAACACCCTCTCTACTTGGTCTGAAAGTATTTTCTTTTAATGACATCAGTGATCACAGCAATTTGAGAAGCAGTGTTAGAACACACACACACACACACACACACACACACACACACACACACACACACACACACACACACACACACACTCTCTCAGGCATTGTCTCATTATTATACTACAAACACAAAGTTGCTTTGGTGAATAAATTGTTTAGAATTAAAATGCATGTTGTCAAAGAGAAAAAATGTGTTATCAGAAAGCTTTTGGAATCGCTCTGCAGCCAGAAGTGTGTGGGTGGAAGAAAGGGGATGCAGAAACAGCTGGACAAAGGAGCATGAGTCAAACAAAGAACTTTATTTGAGTCATGAAACAAATCATGTTGCAGATAGTACAAAAACAAATCTGCTCTCAGAGGGATTTTAATTAGAACACCAGGTCTTAACTCAGGATGCTGTTTGTAAACCCTATAATCTACAGTGAAGTGCTTCAACAGTTTGTTGCCATGATAAGTTAATAGCAGTTGATAAACTGTTGTATAATTGAAGCAATAATTAATCAGTTTTATAATCTCATTCCCTTATTATAACCCTCATGTTTTGAACATGACCTTTAACGTTGAGCCAGTGACACACATGTTGAAAATATCACTCATAAGAATTGTTTAGTTTCTGTTTCATAACGTGTCTTGAATATCAATGCTAATATAAAGTATATTTGAATTAAAACTTCCATGATTAGTTTGTCTGGCATTCTTGTAGTGTGTGTGGGCAGTTTTAGTTTGAGGTCTCATCATCAGTCCTGAAAGGGTCTTTTAGCTGCAGAACAAGTGTTTTTATGATTGTGAGATTAAAGGGCACATCTCATGGAGGACAGATTAATGATAGCGTGGTGTAAGTTCATTCAGTGCTATTACTGCTGCGTGTTAACACATACCTCAGTGTTTTAAGTGCAAAGGGCAAGCTGCCACTGCACTGTAAAGCGGACGGTACATGTTGTATAGGCTCTGTCGTGTTGTAAGCTTTCCATTCCCTCACAGTGCAGTGTGTTAGTTAAACGGGTGGACACAATGGTGTACAGGAGGAAATTTAGGGAGCGACTTGGTGAATTAACCCCCAGGAATTTGGATCATCCAGTCCCTGTTGGTTTGGTGGACATAGGGGGCAGAAGGGCCCTGATTTATGGGCACCCCTGGCGTGGGCTCTCCTCACACCCTGTTCCTGTTCTCCACCCCACTGACTGCAAGGGAAACAGCCAACGCTGTTCACTGGCCTGTAGGGTGTGTGGATGGAGCTGCAAGCGTCCAGACACAGATTTTCCTACGATATTGTTTTAATACTAATATACATTGAATTTTTCTGCAATATAACAGCAGTGTTAAACTTTTTTTCAACTTGCATAACAATTAAAAAACAGTTAGACAAATCTCAGTTATTAAGTAAGGACTTTTCCTTGTTTTGCAATGCAAAGATAACATCTGAGCAACGGAGATATGGCCGATATAGTATCATTACTTACCAGGTTTGCTTCTGTAACAGGGAAGCATGTGATAAAAAATGTTATTGCAATCGAGGTTTGCCCCTTGTCCTTTTCACCGAGTCGTGAACTGCTCACCCTCAAAGACACATTGTGTGATTGTATCAGCAGAAGCTATGCTCCTTCTTGTGTGCATCTGTATAAAAGTGGAGTTCTGTTAATAGTTAGAGTTAGTAGTTTTCAGACACACTTTCTCTTGTAGCTAAAACCACAAAGAGGAAAAAGCTTTCTCCTGATCCCCTACCCCCACATTTCTATCACTAGAAGGCTCCAGCAGCTGGGTTACAAGATAGAAAACAGTTTAAAGGTTGATAGGACCACGGAGGAAGCCATAAATAAGACTGCCATGATAGCTATTTATTGTGGCGTGGAGTGGAAAAGAGAGACTCTGTTTTATGAATAATTAAGGAGGAACTTTTCCTGCCTTTCTTAGGGGGTGATTCCTCGGGCCTTTGTGGTTTTTCACACTGTTCAGTGTTAAACCAGACACTCAGTGGGACAAAATTAACAAGAGTGGAAACAGAAGCAAAGCGTTGCAGCTTTTGCTTTGAAAGAACAGTATATAAAAGGTTTGTGTGTGTGTGTGTGTGTGTGTGTGTGTGTGTGTGTGTGTGTGTGTGTGTGTGTGTGTGTGTGTGGTAATTATGCAAGTGAAAAGTCAGAATATGTTTTTGCCCTTTATTTGAATATAATAGAGGTGAGAAAAGTTGATATCAAGCTTCAACAAAAGTCGACTCATAAGAATGTATATGCAGAAAAATCAGCATTTTTACAATGTGTCTTGTAGTTCCAATTTGTTGTTATTGTAGCCCTAATAGAGTAATGACATAGAAAACAGTGCAACTGATATAAGAGCTAACAAGGATCAGATTCACTGGGCTTGTTAATTGTCTGAGTTACAGATCTCTTAATCTAATTGACAATTATAGGTTTTCTTTGTTGCTTTGCTCATGGTTGCATCAGCGCATGCTCTCCATAGGAACCTGTGCAGAACCTGTCTGCTGAAGACCTGTGTATTTGTAAAGCAGTCTATACAGAGACATCTACTCAGTTTGGATGAATAAGAGGCTCCATCAGTCTGTCACTGATTGAGATAGTACAGATGGAGGCTTGGGGCTCCCCGATGCTAGGTGCTGTCCACTGGGGTGTAAATTATGACCCTGTCTCACTGTGTGGGTTAGTGGCCCTGCCTCGCCAGAGCCTGACCTGCAGTTCTGGAGTTTTTCACTTCAAAACCACCATCTTACTGCGATCAAGATCAAACAGAGCCAACGTTAGGGGATACTGTGCAACTAAATGATTTATCACAACGAGCACAGTGAGAACCTCCTCCACCCCCTTCTATGCCTTTGCTTACACAATCTCCCTGTTCGCGCACACGCACACACACACACGCACGCACACACACACACACATACACACACGGACACACACACACACACACGCACACACACACACACACACACGCATACACACACACACACACACACACACACACAGCCACAAACTCTCTAAAACACATCTCTTTGATTGTGACAGGGTAAGTGTGCACTGCCATTAATATGTCCATTGGTGTGAAATGCCTACTTGTGCAGCGAGTGTAAATTATCATCTTAGTAGACACGTCAACATCGTGTCCCCTGTCTCTTAATCACTGTTTAAGGAAGAGCAGTGACAGCGAGGTTACCCTGTTAACTTCCCATACCTTCGGTCTGCAGCCCTCTTGACAAGGAACGTGTAAATCCTAATGGTGTCATTATGAAAAACACTTGGCTTCATAAATCTGTTGGTGGAGTCTCTCTCTGCAGCGAGCATCAGACCCAGCAGAGACGCAAGTCTTTCTAGATGTTTATTTGTCTGTAGAAAAGCGTCACATTTCTTTAAAAATGACTTTGTCTTTGTTTACTGATCCCATGAGTTAAAACTACGTGAAAAATGTTTCTTTAAACCCCTCCTTGACCTGAGATTTAAAGAACGGTTACATACACAGGAAACCCGTCAAACCTCAGATGTTTAGAGGAAAAAAACAGCAGTAGTGAGAGGAGAGGTCAGCTTTATTGTTGATTCATGGAAATTAAGCTGTGTGTAGCAGCCTGCAGTCTGTCTTTTGCTTTGCCTTTCACTAAGCTTGTAGATAAATTATTAAACATGTTTTGCGTAGTACTAATATTTATATTAAGTCTGAAAGGTGATACATTTACATATGTTGATAACAAGTTTAATGGCATTTTGCTCTTCTCAGATATTTCAAAATGGAAACTAAGTTTTGGGATTCACAGATGCCAGTTGGATAAATTACTGACTTAACTAACTATTGACTTGAAATGTGAATTTATTGATACAAATCTGCCCAGAAACTTTCTCGAACAATTGTTTTCAGCTGTAAAAAGCAAAATCTAATTCCCCTTTTGGAGAAAAATATGTATTAAGAAATTAGCATCATATGAGCCTAAAAAAGGCTTAAATCTTAACTGTTTGGTAGTCCAGTGATGTGCAGGGTCTGCTGTGGTTTCTGACTACTGGAGGAAGTGTATTTAATTAGTGAATCAACTGCAAAAGTGAATAAGAAACTGTTTGTAATTACAGCCTTATGTCAAATTAGTGTTTCTCACATAACTTCTCAGTTAGGATGAACAACTTTTACCACTTGCCCACACACACCGATGAGACAAAGACGTTTGCCAGTCAGTGACAGCGAGGTCGCCCTCGCCAAACCCGGGAGCGTAGGGTGGCATTGTCTGTAGGTGTGTGAGTGAAAAACATGAGGGCTCCATGGTGTCAGACATGTGGAGAGGAGTAGGAGAAAAAAACACCAGCTGGTCTCCACTTTCACATGCTCTCCACTCACTTGTAACAGTAGTAATTATAAGACTTTTGAAACCCATCCAGAAACAGAAAGGAAATAGAGGTCCTGTGATAGAGGAGGATATGAAACTTCCTGCGCAGACGAGCGTTGCAGGTGCCCGGGTAGGATTCGTGTGGCTGTGGAATCTTGGCGCGTTGTGTATAAACACACTCATATATATATATATATATCCACTTTCACATGCTCTCCACTCACTTGTAACAGTAGTAATTATAAGACTTTTGAAACCCATCCAGAAACAGAAAGGAAATAGAGGTCCTGTGATAGAGGAGGATATGAAACTTCCTGCGCAGACGAGCGTTGCAGGTGCCCGGGTAGGATTCGTGTGGCTGTGGAATCTTGGCGCGTTGTGTATAAACACACTCATATATATATATATATATATATATATATATATATAAACACACACACACACACACACACACACACACACACACACACACACACACACACACACACACACTCACACACTCACACACTCACACACACTCCACCCCCCCACCCCACCCTCCTTATCCCCCTGCTTTAAAAAATAACAAAAAAACAACAAAAAAAACAGACAAGAACTGAGGAGCATTACATATTCCTTCAGCCGTTAGCATCTGAGCTGTGAGAAGAAGCAAAGAGCCAAACAGATGTTTTGTTGGCTGCAGAAAATATTTTGGCCTTTCTTACTTCCCACTACAGTTCATTGCTAAAAAATGAATTCTCACAAAAAAAATCATGCAAAGTTTTGTTAGTTTGAAAAAATGACAGACTTTAACATCCTTCGGGTTCAAGGTGACCAAATCGTCGTTTTCATTTAGAATGTATTTAACGTTTTTACCAAAGTAGCAAACAGGCAGAAGCCTGTAGCTGATTTGAAACGTGCTAAAAAAAAATAAATAAATAAACAAACAAACAAAAAAACCAAATAACAAACAAACTAAAAACTTAAAACATGTTTGTTTACACCATGTCTCATCTTTTCATCATCCCCAGGCTGTCACTGGATGATGTGATTGACAGCTTTTGAAAAGAAAAGTATGGGAGTTGCTAAATGTTTACAGCTGCCCTGTGGCCCATGCAGAAAGTCTTGACCTATAAGCTTAGTGCTTCGCTCCCTTCCACATCAGGCATCCTTGTTATATATGTCAGGCATCACATTTCAGAGCTTTTTTTTTCAGTTTTAATGCTTTTTTAAAAATAAATTTAGCTGTGCAAAATGTTTTTAACTTTAAAAGTTGTGCTATAAATGGCTTCATTGCAAGAGCAGAAAACCTGTTGTCACTATCTCTTCAGCCTCGGGATACCAAGTTAATTCCAAGCAAACACTGGTAGTGCAGATTTTTATAAACATGAAACCATCATGTGAAGTGATAGTATCGACCCCGCAGGGAATGGGAAAGAAAACACTATTTGTCATTTGAAAATGTGCACCCTTGCACTTGTTTTTTCATTCTTGTGTTCTTTGCCCCTCGTCCAAATGATCCTAAAAGCAATTTTAAGAAACCTTGAGAGTTGATTTACAACTCGGGCCTGTCATCTTAATCAAGTCTCTCAATGGAACGAGACAAAAGTCTAACACCAGTCCGAGCCCAGAGAGAGGGCTGAGCCAAACGGCGGCTGACAGTTGTCCTTTTCTGGCCGTGATTTAGGTGGCGGCCTGCTCCACTGTTCTCGTGCTTCATCCGTTCTCCTTTAGCAGCGTCTTGTGAGAGGGGTTACGCCATGCATAAAGCTACCCATGGTCTGCATTCTTGCTTGGACTGTTGAGGCTGTCAGGGGGCTCCTCTGATTTAGGGCGCCCCACTTCAGTGGCCCCTATAAATTTAAAAGCTAATTCAGTGCTCTACAGGACTTTCTGTTTTTGTAGCTGGCCCTCTGCTCCTTATCGTTACTGACAATTTTATGAAGTGCTCTTAATGAGCGGCAGATTAAAGGTGGCCTCTGATGGAAGGCGCCTGAGAATACTGGGCTGGTACAGAGAGAAGCCACTCTGGCCTGTGTCCGTCTGTCGGTGTGTGTGTGTGTGTGTGTGTGTGTGTGTGTGTGTGTGTGTGTGTGTGGGTGTGTGTGTGTGTGTGTGTGTGTGTGTGTGTAGGTGTGTAGGTGTGTAGGTGTGTGGGGTGACCAGTACAAAGGAACTGTCGAGGAATGAGTCTGTTAACGTATGGGTCTGTGGAGTGGTACACGCAGATACTGAACACCTTAAACGTCTGCATGTGAGTTATTCATATGCAGAGTCCACATTATGAGCTCAGGAGCCGTGGGAATGAAGAGGAGGAGGCAGGCGGAGTCATGTGTTTGCTGTGACTCCAACAGTTTTCAGACTCCCTGGCATTTTATACCAGCCCAAAAGTAAACACGGCTAACAGTTTACAGCCAATTAAATAGTACTTAAAGCCCAGCGTTTATGGAGGTAAACATGTTGGAGAGTTTAGGGAGGCTTAGGCCAGTGGGATACTTGAACCCTGCTCTCAGGTTTGCTGTCAGTGCATCTGAGCTCCTCTAAAGTAGAAGGACGGTAAGAGCATATGTATACACAGAGGGATTTGTGCCAGCAGATGTTCTCCTTGCACTCTATTTATCAGACAGACTGACAGCCATTAAAAACAGTGTGTGAGTAGTCTGCCTAATGGATCTAAACATGTCAGCAAGAAAGGAGAATTTTTTTTTTTTGACTTGCGTAAGATATAGTTGCAATTTCAAATCACACCATGCCTTTTTGTTCCACTTTTCATCAGCCTATGAAGGGGTTTGTTTGTACTCCAGTGACATAATTCTCAGTTTGTGATTTTGTAAATATTTATTTTTCTTTTGGTCTCAATAGATGTTGAATATGTCCTGTTTGGAATCCCAGGCGGTTGTTTAACGGAAGACTTGCTTTAACGCATCTCAGAAACCAAGCGCGGCACGTGTTTTATGATCTCGTAAACGAGCAGTGATGTTGTGAAACGTGTGTCTGTGTGCTTGGGGTGGAGGGTGGAGTTAGGAGGGTGGGTCTGTGTCTGATAGGGATTTATCTACCCCCCCCAAACCACCACCCCCACCCCCACATCCACCCACCCCCTTTGTCTGGATGGTGGAGCACTCCCAAGAGAGCAATGCTGGACAGGCAGGAATCTCTGTCCAGATTTCCAGAGATTCTCCCATATCCCTTACACAAGAGCCTGGAACCTGGTGCTGGGGCTGCTGCCTGAGAGCTGTTAGTATTTCACAGCCTCAGCTGCAAGCATGTTACTGCAGCCAACATGGTGTAATGAAATGATTACTTAACATAACATCAATATTTAAAAATAAAATAAGGTAGTCATTACTCTATCTACCACTCAAGCTCAGCATGTTTGCAAATCTTTACATATGTTAGGTTTTAATAATCCATTTGTGCATTTAATTCGTGTAAAGAAACTAGATTCATGACTAGTAATCTCTTTAACAAAGGTTATTTATTAATGAATACTAAAGCCTGCCGTTTTCTTCTGCAGATTTTCATCAACAATGAGTGGCAGGACTCTGTTAGTGGGAAGGTCTTCCCTGTCTACAACCCAGCTACTGGAGAGCAGATCTGTGAGGTCCAAGAAGCAGAAAAGGTAAATACTCTACAGCATAACATTGTAGGTAACAATACCACACTATATAAATGATCCATTACAGAAGGTAATACCCTGCATTAGAAATTTTACTTAAACAAGTAAAGAAGTATTTGCAACAAAATGTACTTTAAGTACTCATTATGCATTATTGTGTTATTGGATAATTATTGGATAATACATGAATATGTAAGTAGTAGTTTGATATTGTAGTTGGTTGCCCTAGAGCAACAGTGAACCACTTCAATACTTATGGGTGGTTTAATCAGTAAAAATGCCTCATATTTTTTTAGACTCATATGTTTTTCTATGCAGAATCGTAATCTGAAAAGTAACTATCTGTAGCCATTAAATTAATGTAGTAGAGTAAAGACTACAATGTTTTCCTCTGAAATGTAGTTACTTATTTTTCACCACTTGAGTCTGAGATTGAAAAACAAGTTAGCTATTTGTTTCCAAAGAATTAAGATAAGCAGAAGTACAATATGAGATCAAGATCTTGTTATTTGGTGAACTGGCTCTTGTCCTAGCCCTTCCTTATTTCTGTAACTTTGAACAGAAAAAAAGAAGTGCAGAAAATATTCATGTATGCTACTGGCATGAAAAGACAGATTTCATGAGGGAGTGCAAAAACACTCCTGTCTACTGGATCAGGTCAGATAATTAATGTGTTTCCCTCTCGTCTCATAGGCTGATGTTGATAAAGCGGCGCAGGCGGCTCGCCTGGCTTTTTCTTTGGGCTCCGTATGGCGAAGGATGGACGCATCTGAAAGAGGTCGTCTGCTGTCCAAACTGGCCGACCTGGTGGAGAGAGACAGCGTCTATCTAGCAGTAAGTTAACTGAATATGGGCATTTCGCTAAATCAAATAATGTTAATGTAGTGTAGTATAATTTTTTTTTGTTTATAGAACTCTTTTATATTTCATGGACATAATCCATGTGATTATTACCCTATTTATATAATTATTTATAACAGCACTGTAACTAATTTAAACAGTTTTCATTTGTCTTCGTTGTTAATACATTTTTACACCGTCTGCAGAGCACTTTGAGTTGTCTCTGTGTTTGAAAACACAAAACACCTACTTTGCCTTAAAGACAGCGTATAACTGTAACTTAGGGGCTATATTTGTAGTTTAGTGTTATCTCAGGCTCACATTTCACCCACGAGAGAGTGTAAAGGCTGGAACAGTATGGAATTATGTGAGGATCACAAGGTTATATCCCATATTTCTGAAACTTCTCCCCCGTCTCTTTTCAGACTATTGAGTCACTGAATAGTGGGAAGCCCTTCCTGCCCACCCTGTTTGTGGACCTCCAAGGAACCATAAAGACACTGAGATACTTTGCTGGATACGCAGACAAGATCCACGGCACTTCCATTCCAATGGGTGAGATCCCTGTTTGAGCATGACAGCAGTGTTTCAGTGAAACGGACTAAAGGCAGATTGGTGATGAGAAACCATGGACACTGGGATACCAAATCAAAATACTTTGCGTTATGTTGTTTGCTTGGTTGTGGCCTGATTTAAACCATTGTTTGTTTATAGGGTATTTGGTCCAGGGAAATTCTTGTACAACTCTTCTTATTAGGACAGTAAACATAAATGTATTATAAGCCTCCATAGCTGATTTTTTAAACAAGCTGTAAACAAAACACTGACGTATTTTCATCTTTTCAAGTTGATAGGGTGAACATGTTAAGAAACTGTTAGCTATTAACATCGAACATCCAGCACTTATGGAGCAAAATTTTCATTCATCTGGAGTGTTGTTTCTGGCCACCTGAAGAATGTAAGTGCAATATTCGCAAGTCGTTTCATGACAAACACTGGCATTGTCTTATGAAAGTAAAGCTTATGAAAGCTTTGTGGAGCTGAGAGACACTGCAGAGTCAGATAATTATCTGTGGGGTACTACAAGTGGCTCTTTTTAGATCCACTGTTATTATAAAGATATTGATTATAGCCACTTTAAGAACTTATTGAAGGAGCATTTAGTTGAATGAGAAAACACAGTTTTGTGTAAAAAGCATGCCTACGCTCAGCTGAATAAGGTATCAAATTGACAATCAATCCAAACATTAACATTTTTCATCCTGAGGAGGCTGCCACCAGTGTCACCTCTCTAAGGCGGCTGAATTCGGGGGTGGAGGAGGGGAAAGTTGGCTGTCTATTTCAACAGGAAGCACAAAAAAGACAAAAAAAAAAAGGAATAAGAGAGAGGACATGGGAAACCTCCTGATACCACTGTATTGTCCCTCTCAAAGCTCCTCTTGTACACTGCTGCCAAACCAACCATGGTGAGCATTTTCCCAGGGCTCTGGTTTTAGCTTTATTCCTCTTGTAGACTTTCAGAGAAAATAAACAAGGATATTTCTGTCGCCTGTATGAGGTAAGGCAGTCAGTAAATCATATTTGTTCACCTGTCAGGATGAGGCGCAGGACATCTATCATCAACAACCCCCTGGCACCTATTCATCTCTCACATTATGATACAGCTTTGGAGTTAAATTTGTATCATGGACAGTGTGTAATGAATGAGGAGTGTCTTCATGTGGAGCTTTGGCTAAAAATTTTGGTATAGTTTACATTGCTTGTTCCAAATTGAAATATAAGTCATCTCCAGACGTCATACTTTCAAACAAACCTCGCTGATACTTGAGTTCCTCCTGAAAGGCTCGTGTCTAATAGGGTTATAGTTCCATTCTGCAAACAATAACAGTTTTGAAAGATCCCACATCCACTTTGGACTTAAGGACAAAGGCTGACATGCTGTATATTAACCTGAACTACTTTATCCACTTATGTAGTTGTGTGTCCATTGTCATACTTTCTCTGTATCCCGTTCAAAATGATCATCTGGCTCGTCTTCCACATTGATCATTCCAGTCCAAAAGCAACATAAAGCAATGTTTCATCAGCTGACGACTGTTGTAACAAATTTATACACACATTTCTCAATATCAATTGTTTTTGTGGACGATGAACAAGCATGGCACACCCTCAATAAGTACCTCCTTTTTATTCAAGTAATGCAAGAGGAATGAGCAAACCTTTCCAGCATAACACCCATCTCTATGACCTAAAACAGTTACACACATGCCTGTGCTGTTGGAGGCTCGAAACGAAATGTAATCTCTCACCAGGGTAAAGAAACGAGGAATGTTGCGTGTGGATTCACTTGCAAATTAACATGTCAAGTCAACAACACCGGGGGTATCAGGTGGTGACACTTTTCATGTGTTTGAGGCATTTTTCAAGCTTTAAACTTCTTAAACTAAATCATTGTGTGTGTGTGTGTGTGTGTGTGTGTGTGTGTGTGTGTGTGTGTGTGTGTGTGTGTGTTCGTTCCTCCACAGATGGAGAGTATCTGACATTTACCAGATATGAGCCCATTGGAGTTTGTGGACAAATTATCCCTGTGAGTATTACCCTTGATACAAGTGACATGCGTTATGGAAACAAATGGACGTAAAAGATTTTTAAAAAAAAAGCAGATAACAGTAAATTGCAGTGATATTGGAGGTTGTTAGTCTTGGCTGTTTGTTGTCATTACATTCTGCAGTTTCCAGTAATTCCCTGACAGTCACTGTTTATTCGGGTAAATCTGCTGGTAAGCCCCCAAAATGACTGTGCCAGTGAGTTTGAGTAATAGGGAACGAGAAGTGAGAGGCAGAGGACTGAACAGGGGGATTTAACATAGTGGGTTTGAGGAAAGGAGAATGGTGAGAAAGGAGGAAAAGATCAAGGAGAAAGAGACACTGTTGATTGTGCAAGAGTGCAGAAAGCGTGCGGTTCTGTGTTGAGCCCCATGGGCTCCTGTGTAAAGCAGAAATAACACAGGCCTGTGTGTTGTACAGTGATATGGGTCCATTGCACATGTGTTGCAATTTCCCAGCTTTCTCAGAATACTGTGGGAAGAGAAAATACTGTACAAGTGCCGAGAACATTTTCTCACTTGACTATGTTTAGACAGAGTGAAAATGAGAGTAAGTGACTTAAGAGCGATGACTTATTGAGCTTGACTTGTGACCACCCAGTGTGTCAGTCAGATGCATGATGTCTTTTTCCGGCATGTGTGTGTGTGTGTGTGTCTGTGTGTGTGTGTGTGTGTGTGTGTGTCATGCACAGTGGAACTTCCCTCTGATGATGACAGCATGGAAGCTGGGCCCGGCACTCGCATGTGGAAACACTGTTGTCCTCAAACCTGCTGAGCAGACACCTCTCACCTGCCTCTACATCGCAGCTCTCATCAAGGAGGTAAATGACAACAATCACATTACCAACCACAAATGTGTTCACAAGGCATTTTGTCAGCATTTTATTTGAACAGACCAACATTAATAGTCCAATAACTGAATCAGAATCACTTACAGGTTTCTGTTTGCCAAGAACACAGTGTTCACTATGAATTTGGCCAACACTTTATTTGGATCGCCCAATGTTAATGTAACCTCAAAGCGACAAAAAACAGATGTTTTATAAAGTGTCGCTTGTCTATCCGGTGCATCTTTTCAGAATCTGTAATCCTTATTTCCACCTTTAGATTAACTCCAGTCAACCCATTAGCTAGAATTTATCACTTGTAGATAGCTTTGATTATATTAGCTGAGGTGCTTAGATTCCAGTCTTTGAGATGTCTACTGAGACTTCAATACAATGGAGGTCATCATCTTTGTTTGTGGTTCGTAAAGCATTAAAAACTCATCAGGAACATGATGATGCTGAGGAACCATTCCCTGGCTGCATGACACCTGAACACAACACCTGTGGACAGTTTTCATGGAGATGTACTCTATGAAATTCATATCCATGAATTTTCAAAATGAACTGACTACACTGTCACTGGCTGAATCAGTAGCTTTTAGCAGTAGAGCTCCTCTCGCTGGTGACTGAGAGCATCGTTCACAGTACTACATTTCCTTGTTTAAATGTTATTAAAAGCCACAGAAACAATCTTATCTTTTAAACTGTAGTGACGAACAGCCAAAAGGGAACAACCACTCATGTCAGCCTTAGATTTGTAATTCTGAGTCAGAGGTATCAGGAATTTCAGACTCCATTGAATCTCCCAAAAGAAAAGAACTACAGACAAATCAACAAACTGCTGGCATACATCAGCATAAAATATCAGCACTAATACAATCAAATCATCTTATTTTATTGGAGCCATACACTGTTTGTATCTGGTTTCACATGGTAACAAACTGCTGCGCATACGTGACACAACAAAAGGAGCTAGAGGTTAGCACTAGAGCTAACACCTTGGAATAGCACCCCCAAGTTGGAGTAAGGGATGTTTTCCCTGTTCTTGTTATTCTGCCAACATCAGGCCAAGTTTAGTACCAAGCCGAACATGACAGTTTAAATCATCAACAGACTTAATATACCACTGAACTGAGGACAGTCAGAATTAGCACTCAACATTGTGATGGTATAAATGGTGTTTACTTAATGATATGTGAACTGAGGCACATTTGAATGGTGATGTGATCGCTTTGCTTTAAGAAAAAAGTGTATGAGCTACTTGGTCAGTGACTTTGAATTCTTTGAAGTCATTTATAATTTAACTTAATAGTTATAGGAATCAATGCTGACACATTACAAAAGAGCACTGATAAACAAAACACAGGACGTATCATAAAAGAGTTTCACGCTGTACGTGTAGTGCAGCCGAGACAGTCAACATAAATATGATCAAGAAAAGTTAATACAAGTGCAGATTTCAGTGTCCACATCCTCCCTGTCTTCCCCCTGTCCTCTCTGGCCTCTCCCCTTTTTGGAGACTATCTGTCTGTTGCCTTCTTCTTTTTGATGTTCTCCATTCTCTGCTGGTAGGGAGGTTGGGTTGGGTCCGGATTCCCCCACACTGCCTGTGGTTTTGCTTGGCTCTGCTGTCATCTCCGCTAAAGCTTGTTTCCTCTCATATTGTTTTGACAGGCCGGGTTTCCACCGGGAGTCATCAATATTTTGCCAGGATTCGGGCCAACGGCAGGAGCTGCAATTGCTTCGCACATGGGCATAGACAAAGTGGCCTTCACAGGATCAACTGAGGTACTTTGTCCTCTAGTGAAGTGGCTCAGAAAAAAACCTGCCGCTTTTGTCAGCGAACACAAGTGACACAGTGACCAACATGTGCAGAGCATAAGAGCAGGCTGGGTAATTAGGGGATGTTGTGTGCCTGTATTGAAGTCTAAATGACAAACAAATGGGGTCTTACATAAGCTGTGTGCCCTGTCATTACTCCTCATGTCAACGGGCTCTGATTTTATCTTGCACACATGCACATATTTGTGCTGTCAAGAGTATACAAACACACTCTGAAAACACTGCCTCTCTCACACACAGGATAAACCATTGTAGCTTTGCAGAATAGGGAGGCAGTTAATGGAAAGCTAAATCATCAAGGACATACCATGTTAGGTGTTGAGCACTCGGGGGTGTTGCGGTCCAAATGCATTCCTCCGGCCGGAGGTAACAGCCAGAGTGACAGCAGATTCCTTTTCTGCAGATCATTTATAAACATCTGTTATTTCTAACTGCAAACTAACCCCTCTGGTAAAACCATTTACAGCAATTCCAATGTAGAATTTATGTTTTGATGTGACAAGCCTGTATTTCACATGTATCTTTGGTAAATGAGCCAGGTTTATATTATATTTGGATCAGCCGTTGTGGTTCATGGAGATGTCTGTTTTGACCCTGGTGGTGTGTTGGAGAAGCAGTGTGCATGACCTCCGATAACCCCACACAGGTAAAGACATACCTCAAAGCACTGCTAGGCTAGGCTAGGCTTTTTATTTAACTTCAATCTCTTCAGCTAAAGCTATTTCAACCATTTATTAAAACTTGCAAATTAAAACACAAACACAGCCTGAAACATGGTAACAAAACATGACAAACTATGACTGAAATATTGACCAAGTTATAGTACAAATCTGAACTATGAATGGCTCTAACATTGTGTATTTATGATTTTCCAGCACAGTATAATGTAAAACATACATTTTCCGATTGTCATTCTTTCTCTCTCTCTCTCTCTCTCTCTCTCTCTCTGACACACACACACACAAACACATATCTATCTACACCTATCTCTGTGAGGACCTGTCATTGACATAATACATTCCCTAGCCCCTTACGCTAACCTTAACTATCACAGCTGAATGTCCAACCTTTACCCTTAAAACCCTTAAAAACCTAAGACATAACCCTCAAACAGCCATTTAAACTTACAGAGTCCAGTGTTTTGGTCCCCACAAAGCTGTCGGACCCCACAAGTATAGCGGCCTCTTGGTTTTTGGACCCCGCAAATATAGTAAAACAAGCCCTCACAGACACACCCAATCAGTGTGTGCACGCGAGCTTGCATAAATGCACCTTCTAACACAAACATCTTCTTTGTTTTATCATCTCGTCCTGATTGAACATTTCCTTTGTGAGTGGCCCAGTTTTTTTTTCTTTTTTTACTTTTTTTTTTCTTTTACTAGTTTTCCTGTTGTTTCATGTAATCTGGAGTCAATTACTGAGAGAATGAGCCAGTGCTGTAAGTGTCTGCTGATGCCCAGACAGTGAGTCACTGCACTGTAGTAGCAGTGGTGGGGGATAGTAGCCACCACCGCATCTCCTCACAGGCTGGAAGGTGGTGGTGTAGCTACAGGTGGATTTTAGCACCACAGCTCATCTTCGTACTGACTCACATGTGACTGTGACTCCACATGGAGGAGTCTGGCAGCCCAGCGTGTTTCCTTTACCCCTGAATAAACACACGCTAACCCCCCCTTAGTCAGCCGCTTTGTGTTTCTGATCAAAGACAGACAAAAACACATCAGAAACAATGAAGCCAAGCCAAGTACTGTGTTGTTTTTATACAGCTTTGGTACAAGCCACAGCACAGCAGTCAGTTGATTCTGTTCTGTTCTCTTGTTTTCTATTATATCTTGGTAACTTGAAGATGAGTCTTTTCCATGTGCTTCAATGGGATTTTTTTTTCTGGTTGGACACCGAGAGGGTATTTTTCCACTTTATCCCATCAGTTCTTTCGGAAAATAAAACAGGCTGTATGAGTAACAGGAAGATGAATGCTTGTTTAGGGTGTAGGGTTGTGAGGGAGGTGTGTATGGGGTTTCTCAGACTTGTTATCTGTTGAGTCAATATTTCAAGACACTGAAAAAAATATCAGTTGAAGCAGCTGATTCATTCTAGTGTCCCAAAATCATCTTTCTCTAAATTTCCAGTTGATGAAATATTGTTCATTTCCAGTGCGGTTTTAACCAGCAACAGAAAAAATGTCAATCAGTATCATAATTTTGACACTTGAAACTTCCTGTAAATGGAGGAATGTGTCAGAAATTAGTAAATGGAAGATAAATGGACTTACATGTCACTTTTCTAGACTTATCGAGAACTCAAAGTGCTTTACACCACAAACCACATTCGTCACACTTTTTCTATGCATACTTCCCTTTTCTGCCACACACACACTCTCACTCACTGACCGATGATAACATTTGGGGTAATGTTGGGTTCAGTATCTTGCCCAAGGTCACTGTAACATGCAGACTAAAAGAGCTGGGAATCAAACCACTGACCTTCAGATTAGTGGACGACACGGTCTACCTCCTGAGCCACAGCCACACATTCCTTTAAATTCATTTGAGAAAGCAACTCAATATATAATGTATTATGTTGTACTTTTCTTTAATATAATGACCACATAATGGCCATAACTACTAGTACCTTTTTATTCTATTGTTTACTCAGTTATAATCTATTTTTACTTTATTTTAATTTTTAGTGTTTTATGTTGAAAGGTGCCATACAAATAAATTTTCCATGTCATGCCACACATATCATTACTTCCCATAAAACCACAACTCTTCATTTTTACTTTTTGACTTTTGTACGGATTAAACTAATTGTATATAACTTGCTGAATAGCATTAGAGGTGATGGTATTTGGACTTTTTTTATCCCCTTGGTTAGAGCCAGGCTAACTGTTTCCCCCTGTTTCCACTATTTGTGCTATGCTATGCTAACCAACTGCTGACTTCACATACTGGAGTGGCATAGAGTGGTATCAATCTTCTCATCTGTCTCTTGACAAGAAAGCGAAAGGGCAAATTTAAAATTTATTTAAAAAATTTATGCAACCCAACTATTACAATTTATTTATTTTATACTTTACATCATAATGTGCATGTTTATTTTGTCAACTGTTCCAGGCATCTTTTTAGGCATTCTTTCTGTTTACATACAGTTAAATGGTCATTTGTGAGGTAAAGAAATGAGGACATTTCTAATCAGTCTGCTTCTAAACTGTGTCACTAGGCTACAATAGCCAGTAATGTAACAAAAATGAATGCAGAGGATGTTCACTGTGATTGATTACACAATATAAACAATTTTCAAGAGGAAAAAAAAAAATACACAATTTGTAGATAAGAAGCTAAAACTTGCAAAATCATACTGACAGACCAGACCCATATCATACCCGGCAGCCCCTCTCCCTCTCAGTCAGTTAGATCACAGGACACCACCCACACACCTTGTGGTTGCTCCTTCCTGCCCTCCATTAGACATCAGATGCTGTTCCCAGCTAAAACATAATTTTATTTTCCTGTTGCTGTTTCCAAAAACCTGTAATAGATATTCATTCTGTGTGTTTGTAGAACTCATGTTTCAGCTGGTCTACCGGTGCATTCCCTGTTTGGAGCTAACCAACCTCTTTAAGCTATTTAATGGCTCCAGCTGATTTACTGATCTGGCTGCAGGCCTGCATCTCTGTGAGTAAACCTCAGATCTGTTTCCTCTGCTAGGTCGGCAAGCTGATCCAAGAAGCAGCTGGGAAGAGTAACCTGAAGAGAGTGACGCTGGAGCTCGGAGGAAAGAATCCCAACATCATATTTGCAGATGCTGATTGTGAGTTTTTATTCATTGCCTTGTTTACCTGTCACCCTCACCAGCTGGTCCGCCACCATCCCTGTTTTGTTTAGTTATGTGTCCCCATTCTTAGGCCCTTCTGTCTGTGGATAAACACACATGAAATAAGAAATCCTAAAATGCTCAAAGGTTTTGTAGTGCTATGAAAACCTGTGGATGGATGGGTTTCATATAAAGTCTATATGGCTCACCAAACTGGGGGTGCTGAGGCTTTCAAATGCTTTCAGCAGCCGTGAGAGGGGCTCCCTAAGGCCTGTAAATCAGGAGAATGGACCCTGACTCAGTCGGGTGCTTCAGCCGAGACCCATAAATCACAGGGGTGCGTTAACCCTTCATGGGCAACAGCAGGGTCCTGTCTCTCAGGTGTCAGGTATCAGATTTGCACAGGATACCTCCAATAAATATTGGGGCAAATTTTGTAACAATATACTGCATACACAGCTTTTTCTTTTTTTTTTACCAGATAAAGTTTTTATATGTATGTAGCTTATGTTAACATTGACTTCTACATTATTTAACTTTAAAGATCCCAATTAAGATTTTTCTTTCTTAATAATTACCCTTATGATTATACAATTATTTTCATCAGACATTTCTTTTTTTACGAACAAGTGGCTGTGTCTAGGTATTGATAAACTAAAATCACTTTTTTTTAAACAGTGGATTTGGCTGTAGAACAGGCCCACCAGGGCGTGTTTTTCAATGCAGGCCAGTGCTGCACAGCGGGCTCTCGCATCTATGTGGAGGAGCCCATATATGATGAGTTTGTTCGGAGAAGTGTGGAGAGAGCCAAGAGGAGGATAGTCGGCAGCCCCTTTGATCCCACTACTGAGCAGGGTCCACAGGTGAGTGAGCACAACACATCTATCACTTCATGAAACTGCAGACTTGTTTTAACATTTGAGCAGAAGTTCCCTTGTCTTCATATCATTTTCTTTCACATTCAAGCGTCTTTCTTTCTATATCTTTCTCCTCTGCCCGGGCTTCACGCATCGTATCTGTCCTCCACCTCCACAGATCAGTCGGGAGCAGCAGAATCGTGTGTTGGAGTTTATCCAGAGCGGCATCAGTGAAGGAGCCAAGTTGGAGTGTGGCGGCAAAGCTCTGGGCTTGAAAGGGTTCTTCATCGAGCCCACTGTTTTCTCTAATGTGAGGGATGACATGCGCATCGCCAGAGAGGAGGTACAGTGATAAAGAGCTGGGATTTTGATAGCATCAGCACAACTAATGCATGTTATATCTGTGTGTAAAGCAGTGGTGGAAGAAGTTCTCTAAGTAAAAGTAATAATACCATACTCTAAAAATACTTAATTCAAGTCAATGTTTTGCATCAAAACTTTACTTAAGTCTAAGTACTAAAGTAATATCAGCAAAGTATGCTCAAAGTATCACAAGTACTTATGCAGAATGCCCCCTTTCAGAGTGTCATATGTGTTTTACATATATATATATATATATTATAGAATATTATTGTTGATGCATTGACATGTAAGCAGCATTTAATGTTGTGGCTTTTTGAGATGGATCTAATTTTAGCCACTTTATATACTACTGGGCTGTTAAATCTATAAAACATGCATGATGCCTTATATGTTTATCTTGTATCCTGTTTGACCTGCAGAGTAATTAGTAACTAAAGCTGTGAACTAAGTGTAAAAAAAAAGTAGAGTAATTCCATCTGATATGTAGCCGAAGTATAAAGTAGCATGAAATGGAAACACTCAAGTAAAGTACCTCACAATTGTACTGAACTTTATGCTTATCCTTTCACATGTCTTTGTTTATGACCATGGTAACTATGAGAAAAGTAAATGAGAAGATTTGAAGTTAGTGATGAACCCGTGTATTGTTGCCTATTTACAGATTTTTGGACCAGTCCAGCAGATCATGAAGTTCAAAACTATCGAGGAAGTGATAGAAAGAGCCAACAACACAGATTATGGTTTGGTTGCGGCCGTGTTCACCAACGACATCAACAAAGCCATGACCATCTCCACGGCCATGCAAGCCGGCACTGTCTGGTAAGCTTTCTTTCTTTAGCTGCAATCAGGAATATTTTTCATGTGGGAAGTATTCAGGCATCCAGAAACCATAAACTGGCAATGTGCCACGTTACTATCATTACACAAGCCACAAAGAAATGTTTTCCTTCCTTTTTTCCCCTCAGCTCAGACATTCAAGATGTAAAAATATCAGAAGTCATGTGCCAGTGCAAGACAACAACGTAAAATATAAACTGTAAATGTAAAGTGACACCCTAATTTTATAATCAGTATAAATGAAATGGCCATAAAATGTTACTTCTTGATTTCACCTAAGATTGTTTTGTTTCTTTTGTAATTAGCTGCAGATGGTTATGAGTAGGGGTAGAAGTATAGCTAACATACAGCATCTGCCAAGAAATTTTCACAACTTGTCATACTTGACTGCAATCCTCTGCTAGCTCAGAAAACATTTCTCTACCCTCATCTTTCATGCCACCCCAGTCACCATCATACTTCTCTTTTTATGAACAACCAAACCTTTTTCCTCCCATCCACTCTTCTTCAACAAAGCCCGCCTATTCCAAGCAACATTTCCTCACCACTAATACCGGCCACAATGACCACTTCTCATAATGTAGTAAGTCATGTGGGATTGACCACAGACAAGCAGCTGTGTCTCCAGTTACCTCCTAATCTCACAGATATGTCTTTTTTTATTGTCTGTTGATTCTGAGGTCTCCTCTGAGGTTGTTTTCTTATATACTGATCAGTCATGTGATTTATAGATCGACATTGCCATTTTTGTCATTTTTTAGAATAGTATTTACAAAATACAATATTTGTTCCTAATGGACACAGAAATTTACTTTTTTTCAAGCTCATTTTCCAGAACACAGAATAGTCAGATCTCCTCCATCTTTTAAAAAATGTTCTCCTTCATAAACTGGCTTCTATTCATTCACTTCCCACTATGTGAAAGATTGCTGTCAGGGAACGACTGATAAGGCTGGACTGTAAGGGAATTCTTGGACGCTCAGTCACACTTCTCCCTCCAACTTTCTCAATCCCAAAGTTCACCAACTTTCTTAACTTTGGCGCTTTTGTTTTTTTTTACTCAACCCAAACTTTTGTATTTCTTCCTCATAGCATCCATTCACTAGTTCTTTCCCAGGCAGCTGTAGCTTGAAAATTCACAACTATAGGATATTGTCAATCCAGATGGTTCCAAAAAGTAGCAGTAGTTGAAAATGTATTTTTACCTTAGTCTCACTAAATGCAGCTTTAATACTACTGCTTTGGACAAAGTTATGCCCCATTTCACAATATAAAGCCACTTCAGTCAAATGCACAGAAGTGATCAATGTTTTGTGTATTTCACAGGATAAACTGCTTCAACGCTCTGAGCACACAGTGTCCATTTGGGGGATATAAAATGTCTGGCAATGGGCGTGAATTGTGAGTATGACTTGGTTGTCTGCCAACTGAATATACACAAATTAACCACAGAATTACTAATACTGACTTTCTGTTTTGAAAACCTACTTTCCAAAATTGCTTAACATCACATAAATCTTTATCTAACAGGATATTGCAATGTTTCTCCTCCAAGGGTCTCTAGCAGTGTCTCCACTATATTTCAATGTTCCCGTCAGAATATGATTAAACAAAATGAGCAGCATTGTTACTATTTCCTGTTGTGTGTTCTCAGGGGTGAAAATGGCTTGAAGGAGTACTCAGAAGTGAAGACCATCACGATGAAGATGGTCGCCAAGAACTCTTAAGGCAGCCATGCTTTTTTGGGAGGAGGTAGCGTCTTCCTCATCACTGACCCGCCTCTTGTCGGTCCATCCACAGTGGCAAACCACATTAACCATCCAAACTAGTTATCTCCATGGTAACTACAGGCTGTGACCACTTGCTGCCCTCTCAGTCCCTCCATCAGCTCCGCCTTTGCTCGCCACGGACAGTCAGCTGATCCCTGTCCAACTATCTCCTTGAATTTGTGGACTGTCTCTAGTCTAACTGACAACCACTGAACCACCCCCATACTGTATACCTCCTCCACTAACTACACTAAAGCACTCACAGAGACGATGGGGGAGGCTGTTCTGACTGCAAACCCCAATAACAACCCCCCTACCAGCCGCTACACCCAGATCCTCACTGCCCAGATGCTGGATGCTCAGAGACTCAGTCGCTGCACTTGCAATCAACCCTTTACTAGCAACTTGTCATGTGTTGGGAGGCAGTTTTTCTTTGTACTGTGCGGTATGTTCATCAGAAACCTCATGTGTCATTGTCTTGGTAGAATTTATGCAAGCATGTCAGCTCATTCAAGACCACTGATGTTGTCAGCCTCAGATATGAATGGATGAAATGTTAATTCAGAATTAAAATTGATTTCTAATTGTCTTTGTTTATATTTTAGCTCATATGACTTAACACTGTATGTCAACCTTTGACTGATGTAAACGTGAAAGATTTTAACCTCTTAAAAGCATTTTTACTCTCACCTGCTAAAAGAGGAGTAGATGTATTTTAAACATTATGTAACTGATTTTCATTGATGTCCATCTATGTTTATGTTTATACAATCATATGCTATAAAATTATAAAATGACCATAGTTTTTTTTTTTCAGTAAAAACTTTTTCCTGGAAAACGTTTTTCTTTGAGTGTTCACTACATTGTTAGGACTCAGTATCCTCAGTATTGTGTGACCAAGAGGTCACATAATTTACAGTTACATTCAGGCTGAGGTGAAAATGTACACATTTCACAGACCTGGATCTAACACCTTAATAATTTAATTACTTGTATTTTGAAGTGCTCATACTGGAAATAAATTGACCCAAAGAGATTATTTTATAACACATTCACATACAAAATGTTTATAAATTTCTCTTGGGCACTTATCCAGTGGTCAGAATTGAAGAACAATTTGTTAAAGTGTTTTTTTAATTCTGTCAGCTCCACCTACTGTGCAGGTAGATTCATGACGACCTTGTGTTAACATCTCACAGTAAGGAAAGCACAAGTGTAGATAATGACAATGATAATGGCTTAATTCCATTTAGCTGCTCTGGTTTCAAGGTCTTGGTATTAGTAATGTTATTAGTTACACCTTTGCTTTTTGTACAATGAAAAGCAGCTACAATAAATTACAACCACAGGGAAGTGGAAACAGCAATGACAATGAAAAAAAATCAAAAATATTGGAAAAATCAATAACAATCAATCACAAAGGTAGCAGATAAAACAATTTCAGAAACAGTAATCTTAGTGAAGATTAATTTACTCTCTTATGGAGTAAACTACTTTACTCCATAAGTGGACAGCTCATCAAGATGAGTGAAGTTCATGACCAACAGGGAGGAGGATGGGATGAACAACTTCTAAGGTCAGAAGTTATTTATTTATTTATTTATTTTATCAGTGAAGCAAGACAAACACATAACAAGTGATTTCACATGAATAAATGTTACATCACATGCATCCGGCGTCCTGCACAATTCACCAGTGGGACAGGACGTGCAGCCCTGGGGATAGAGCCGGCCCAAGTTTTTATGAGGCCCTGAGCAGAATTAGATTTGGCCAAGGGAGTAGGTTTGGTCTCAACATTGGTAGGGCTGCAACAACCCTGCCACTGGGGCTAAACAAAGAGATTGATTTTTTAAAGCCGTCAAAAAAATGGTTTATTAACATATAAGATCTGAGTTTACATTCAGAAATGCAGATACACAAATGTAATATATGTACATGTGTTGAATCTCCATATATGAAATATATGTACATATGAAGTTAAATATGTACAGTCAAAGTATGTACAGTATGGCCCATATATGTAAAAATACATGTGAAACCTGTTCAAAATTGGAACAATATCATATATTGACATATATGTCTAACTAACATATTGTAAGGTTATATTATAGACATATGTTATATAAATATGTATCCAACCCAAAGCCTGTAACTATATGTTAATTATGGATATAAATATAAAAGATAGATGTGTATGGTTAAATTAAAGAGTAAATTATTAAGAAAATCATCAAAAGAAATGAAGAAATGAAATAAGCATTTTGTTTTAATAAAGTTGCAATATTACAGATATGTTTTAAACATATATCATATGTCCAAAAGATGTGTAAATGTCATAGTAATATATCCTCTTATGAGTGACTCGTATGGTAACATCACTCTTGAAGGACAAATGTGTCATATACATATGTCATAAGTTATAGTATAGTAAGAAATAAAAGCATCATTGTATAGTAAGGAATGAAATGTCAAAAAATGTCATGGTATAGTAAGAGATAAAATGTCATAAAACGTCATAGTAAAGCATGGCATGAAATATCATAAAAACACTGAAGTAAGGTAATGAATAAAATGTAATTAAAATGTCATATTATACTAGGGATTAAAAATGTGATAGTATAGTATTACAAAAAATGTAATTAATACAACATAGTAAAGTATGGCATAAAATGTCATGAAAATGAAATGTTAAAGTTTGGCAAAAAATGTCATAAAATTACAGATTATAGTAAGGTATGAAAATGTCATAGTATAGTAAGGCATAAAATACCACAAAAACGTCATAGTATAGTAAGGCATAAAATGTCATAAAAATGTCATAGTATAGTAAGGCATAAAATGTCATAAAAATGTCATAGTAAAGTATGGCATAAAATGTCATAAAAACGTCATAGTATAGTAAAGCATAAAATGTCATAAAAATGACATAGTATAGTAAGGCATAAAATATCATAAAAATGACATATTAAAGTATGGCATAAAATGTCATAAAATTAATGATCATAATAGGGTATAAAAACGTGATAGTATAGTAAGGCATAAAATGTCATGAAAATGACATATTAAAGTATGGCAAAAAATGTCATAAAATTACAGATTATAATAGGGTATGAAAAGGTCATAGAATAGTAAGGCATGAAATGTCATAAAAATGTCATAGCATAGTAAGGCATAAAATGTCATAAAAATGACATATTAAAGTATGGCAAAAAATGTCATAAAATTACAGATTATAGTAAGGTATGAAAATGTCATAGTATAGTAAGGCATAAAATACCATAAAAACGTCATAGTATAGTAAGGCATAAAATGTCATAAAAATGTCATAGTATAGTAAGGCATAAAATGTCATAAAAATGACATATTAAAGTATGGCATAAAATGTCATAAAATTACAGATTATAGTAAGGTATTAAAATGTCATAGTATAGTAAGGCATAAAATGTCATAAAAATGTCATAGTATAGTAAGGCATAAAATGTCATAAAAATGACATATTAAAGTGTGGCATAAAATGTCATAAAATTACAGATTATAGTAAGGTGTTAAAATGTCATAGTATAGTAAGGCATAAAATGTCATAAAAATGACATAGTATAGTAGGGTATGAAAATGTTATAGTATTGTAAGGTATAAAATGTCATAAAAATGAAATATTAAAGTATGGCATAAAATGTCATAAAATGACAGATTATAGTAAGGTATTAAAATGTCATAGTATAGTAAGGCATAAAAT